CACACAACTTTTAGTCTACATAGTTTATTCAAAGAGTTCATGTTATCTCTGTTAGAAAAATTATCAGCAAGAAAAATGACAGGATCTTGGCGTTAATGTCTCATGAAATTTTTAGAAGTAATCCCAATATGATCAAGAACAAGTGAATTAAGTAGATTTAAGTGAGATTGAAGTTTATGAAATTATCAACAATGATCAAGCTTTATAACATAGGTCTACTTTAACTTTCAGAATCTTTTTTGGTAAATTTTTAAAAATTTATTTGAGAGTAAGAGAGAGAGAAAGCCAGCACAAACAGGGAGAGGGAGAAGCAGACTCCCTGCTGAGCAAGGATCCCAACGTGGAGATGGATCCCAGGACCCTGGAATCATGAGCCAAAGGCAGACACTTCACTGACTAAGCCACCCAGGAGTCCCTCTTTTGGGTAATTTTAAGCCATAAAATATTCCTATGTTAATGTATGGAAATTCATTGGAATACCTAAATTTCCAAATATGATAAAACACTGAAACATTACTGAATGTAGGTTTATCTACTTTTGGCTCAATACAGAGAAACTAAACATATTTGGGTCTATTAGTAAATGTCTTGTACCACATTGAAAAATTGTACTAGGAAGCAGCATATGCTTCTAGAAATTATGAAATGTACTTACAAATTTGCCAAACTATAGTTGATAACTTCTTCTTCTAGAAATTAAGGTTTCAGAGAGTTGGGAATACTAATTATAATTAACATGTAATTAAAACTACTAGAAATAGTAAGGAAAACCACTCTGTATACAAGGAAAATAAGATGTGCTTTTGGTAAAGAAAAGGTATGAGGTACAAAGATGCATTTTTGGTATAGGAAAAAGTTTTCTCCTAGAATAGAATGAGTTGTTTCAGAAGAGGAAGGAGGAGAATAAGGGAAAATTAATTGGCTATATAAAGTTGGAAAGAGAGAGAAAACCTTATGTAATTAAGCTAGCTAAAATAGAATTCATAAATGTATAAAGTTTATCAATAGTCTACTCATATAAAACTAAAAGTTTTCTTCCATCTGGCAAACGTGGAACTAAACCAGCTTGACTTTGCTTCTTGGCCAGTCACAAGATCAATACTACACCAGGTTGACTGACTTGTTGCACAAGGTAAAATTTGCAGCAAAAAAAGGAAGTTCACAGGGAGTAACTTCCAAAGCGGTGACTCTGTAAGCAAGGGTGGATGGGTTCCTTTTATTTAGGGTTATCATGAATATTTTAAAAATGGATCTCTTGGGGTGCCCAGATGGCTCTGTTAAGTGTCTGACTCTTGATTTTGGCTCAGGTCATGATCTCAGGGTTGTGAGATTGAGCCCTGTGCTGGGCATGGAGCCTGCTGAAGATTCTCTTTTCCCTGTCTCCTCCCGCTTGTGGGCATGTGCTTGCTCACTCCCTCTCTCAAACCTTAAAAAAAAGGGGCACCTGGGTGGTTCAGTTGGTTAACCACCTGCCTTTGGCTCAGGTCATGATCTCAGGGTCCTAGCAGAGTCCTGCATCTGAATCCTTGCTTAGCTTCTCCCTCTCCCTCCCCTGGCTCATTTTTATTTTCTCTCAAAATCTTTTTAAAAATTCCTCTAAAAAGGGGATCTTTTGTCATAGTATGTGGAGGTGGGCATGAGCATAAGAGGACAATTGTACTTTAAGATGCCTGTATTACATTGTATGTTATGTAAATGAGGCTTGTGCTCCTCCTTGGAGGGCAATTTTAGTATTACAATGGGGTAAAAGGTAGTCGTAGGTCATTCTAGAGGTCTCTCCATGGTCCTGTGTAAGTGCAAGTCGGGGGTTAAGCTCAAACTGGTCTGTGTGGTCTTGGCCAGCTGAAGGTCTTGTCAGGGCAAGTGCTATGTTATTGCTCAAGGGGCAGTTTTGGACTGCGTGAGTTAAGAGACAAACTGGAAAGAAGAGCCTAAAGAAAAAAGGACCAAGATCGGTGAGTTCAAGCAAGTAGGAAGTAAAGGTCAGGTCTTGGGGTCTAGCTGGTGACAAGGGGACAAAGTTCTCTCAGACTTTGGATCTGCTCCTGATCAAAAACCTTAAAAGATTCTTACCTTTTAAGGAAAGCAAAAGATTTTGTGTTTTACTGAAATAACTTCCTGTGTTTCATGTTATCTTCATCATCAGGTCTTTGATTACTTATGAAAACTGAGTCTTCTCAATTTAAGAGCCAAGTTCTGCTCACAATTATGTAACTTTCTGTATTTGCCTTTAAAATCCATTTTCACTTGGGTTAGGTAGGTAATCAAGAAATCCTAATTCTAGTCAAGTACTTCAAAACTATTGATATTTTTGAAGAGCTGAACCTCAAAATCTGGATGAAGTCTTTCTGACTTTAAACTAACTTAGGGATATTCCAGAGGGCCCCTGAAACAGGTCAAGATTTGTCTTTCTCCTTGTAAAGAACTATTAAACTAATTTGACTTTTGTTACATTGGAAGCACTTATAAATCATTGATCTTACCTTTGTTTAGTTTGTATTTGTATGGATATTTATTATTAATATAAACGTTCCAGAAATTGTATGTAATTCTTGAAATCTGTTATGTCATAGTATAAGTGCTACCACTTACAATTCTACTTATTTTCTTAAAATAATATGTTACAGAAATAACCAAAATTTCTTATCAGTTAGTTGTATTATAGTGAATGCTCACCAGTCTTTAACCATGCCATATTTAAAGTGTTTTGCCATTTATAGAAGTTACTGTTTTGCTTTTGCGAAACTGCTTCATCTTCAAGGGGATTCATGGAAAGGGCTCTGATAAGTACAGGTTTTCAATAACTTTAAAATTGTACCATTGAACTTACAAAACTCAATGGAAAAAGTGAAATTATAAAATCTCAAGTAAAAGATCAACAAGAATTACATGGACATCATCATGAGGATGATTTTAATTTTTATGACTTTGTTGGAAATACTGCTTGTTTCTAGATTTAAGGAAACTTTTCTTTAAGTTACCTATGACTTACAGCAATTTGGTAAAGTATACATTAATGAACAGGATGAAAGAGTTACTCTCTCCCTCAATGATCCCTCCAGAATTTGAAAACTCAGAGACCATTCTTATTTTCATGGTAATAGTTATTTGTATAATCTCAATAAGAAGCTGTTCTCCTTGACATAGGACACAATTAGAAACACTAGTTATATTACCAAGACTTTGAGTAGAATGTCATATTTGAGAATGTCCATAGAATCAGACGTGACTATACGGTTTTAAGAAGATTAGGTTGACTTCATGGAGTCAGTATAGCTCCCTTCCTCCAGGGTTCCTGTAAGAAAGATTATTTCCTGGCAGATGCAGGAACCTTAGGATATTTGGGAGATCTTGAGAAGAGAGTGACTAACTCAAATCTATAGGTACTGTAGGCAAAGAGTGAGGGTAAGATCTCGGCTTTCTGGCCTCAGGAGGCTCTTAAAAAGTCTAACTTGAGAGTCCTTATAAAAAGTTCCAATAAAGCACATTTAAAAGAGTCTATATGGTCAGTCACTATTCTTGTTATGTAAGTAATCGGGCCAAGTGTAATTTTATTGTAATTATCCTTGGTAAAAGTGTGGATGATTACAGAGCAAGATGATGCTTCAGTAGAAACTATAATGCACTCTTGTGGGTATCAGTATCTAGTTGTGTTGTCTGAGGGTTTATTTACCTGTAAATGAACTTAATCATGAAGTCTTCTAGTTTCCCCACATAACTCGCATTCCTAGTCTTCCTCTGCTTTTTTTTGACTTGGAATCACTAAAAACAAACTGCATGGAAATTCGATATCTCCTGGTGTAATGCTATCACTTAAAATTCTGCTTATCTTAAAATGTAGGTCACAGAAGTAATCAGATGTCCTTGTCAGCTGCCTTGCAGTGAACTCTCATCAGATCTTTGATGATGGCCATTTTGTAAGTCTTTCGTCATTTTCAGAAGTTATTATTTCAGTTTTGCAAAAGTGTTGATCCAAGCCTGCAACTAAATGTGAAAGACTTGATATAAACTCCACAGAAATGGCCACAATAGCTCATGTTTACAGTTGTCATGCTTGTTGCTTTGTGGGCCAAAGTTTACCTCAACACCTGATGACAGAGACATTCAAACTGCAAAAGATCCTCTGATCCCAACATGTAGAAGTCTTCTGACCCGCTGCCCTCAGGACCGAGGTTTAGTGTATAATTTGCCCCAACTGTTAACCTTTTCCTTTTTTTTCCATAGAAATGCTTATTAAATACCTGTTTGTAGTACAGAGGCCCAACTGGGCTTCTACTTCCTGAAAGGAGACACAACTTGTTAACCAACCCGACCTGTTCTCTCTCAAGACTGGTTCAGTGAAACTACAGAGCAATCTGTCAATCAACTCAGCTTCTGGGCTGTGAAACTAATTTGATATTTCAAAGGCAGACCCAAAGGGAAATAGACTGTGGCACCCTAAAGTATGCCTCTTTGGCATAAGGATTATTTTGAACTAATTATTTTTAAGAAACAGGAGATCCAGCAAAAGCTCTGAAAACCTAGTAAAAGCTACCCTCCTTTTCCTGAGGGAAATGTACTTGTATAAACGAAATCTCCATTTGTGAGGGTCTCTCCCTCTCTGTGCCAGAAAGAGGAAGCTGACTCTACATTCTAACACCCTTACTCTCTCCTTTACTGGGCTGCACACCTGATTAACCTCCTTCCTAGTGATTCCTCCTCCCCCAACATCTTTAGCTGAAGAACTTACTCAAGGGGGGAGCCTGGCCTACTCTGAAAGTTACTCAGTTCATCTGGGTATCTCTCCTGTATACAGAGGCATACATATGATTAAACTAATGTGTTTTGTTTTCCCTAATCTGTTTGGGGATCTCAGGAACCAAGAAGGTAAAAGGAAATTTATTTCTCCTCCCCTACAAGGACATTTAGAAAGTTTGAGTTAGAAAAATGCTGTGACTTTCATAGTATATCAATCAACCATAAGCACAAAGAAACACAACATACTCCAATGCTAATGGCAGATGGTATATTCTTAACCTCCTCAGAAAGGCACAGCATATGTGGTTCAAACAGCAAATCTGTGGTGGCCATCGGAACTTTGGCAGGGGTTACATTTGTTAAACAACTTAGGCTTTCAGCCACTTCATAAGTTTACAGGACTTGGTCATATATACACACAGATATACATTTCATCAACACAACATATATGCTGTCTAGAGCCCATTTATGTCAACTTTGGCTGTATAGTGATCAAAATATGGCAAAATTAAGATATACTGATACAGTCATGAATGTGGCTTAGAAATATTTAACTCAAAAAAAAAGAAATATTTAACTCAAAAAAACTTTAAAAATCTTTTGATGACATGTTAAATGCATGCTTCAGCACAAAGAGAAAAATTTAGAATCTCAAAGTTAAAAGATTGAATAAAAAGCTTCAAACCCATTAACTTTCTTTAAAAAAAAATTAATCCTAGAGGTCTCAAGGCATGATCTATAAATGAACAGATCCCTCCATTACAGGATGTGTTAAGGACTATTATTAAACACACTTTAACTTAAAAAAAATAGTAAATCACAGTGGCTTTTAAAAAATTCTATAAAATATCAAATTCAAAACTTACATGAAATCTTATAGCCAAAAGTCAAGAAAAGAAATATAAAAACAATTCAGAAATAAAGACTTTGAAAAAGTTTGCTTTACTCAAATATCTCACAAGGTCCATCACCTGTCCCTGTGGCCTGCGTGATGGACTTGGTGCTGCCAGGGGGTGGGTTGATGTCACGAGCACTTGCAAATAAAATGTGAGGAGCTTGCAGGTTCTGTCTCGGGGAATGGGTGAGAAGTGGGCAGCAGCTTCTACACCAGGTTGAATTCCCTCAGGTTGAGTTGGAGAATTGTGTCTTTCACAGCAGCGAACACAAAGCGGATATTCTCTGTGTCTGTGGCACATGTGAAGTGAGAATAGATGACTTTCTCTTTGTCAGGATTCTGATCTTGATAAAGCTTCAGGATAAAGTCTCTGGCAGCTTTGACATCCTGCTTGGGTCCTAGTCAAGAGTGCAGTTACAGGAGTAAAGAAGAAAGATACTAACTACCAAGTCCTCCCCCAAATCAGTTTCGATGGACTCCCTCTTTGAGTTCTCTTATTTCTAGAGAATCGCTTCCCTGGGGTGTTGTTGTATCTCCTAATGAACCCGTAAGAGAGACTTTTAAAGCATCCACTGCTATCTAAAAAATGTACTTTAAAGCAAATTGTTGAAAAACAGTGACCCAATTAAACATTCTGATTTGGGCCACTCAGGCAGACAGAAGTGGACTAGGAGCAGGAAAGGGGAGAACATGGGAACATGAACAAGTCTGATTTTAAAGGGTGAGGGCTCTTAACCACATGGCCCATGCAGTTAATAAAAGGAAAAAGGGCGCTACCACACAGTACTCTATATATCAGTATCAGACCTGCTGCTGTTTGAGACCTCCCGTACCAGAAATAATTAGCAACAGGACATAAAAACTTTGCAGCCTGGGATTGGTCCTCTGTGTAAAAACTTCAGCATCTACCATGTGCCCAGGAAGGAGGCTGCCACGGTAACTTACACATAAGAAGGAGTGGGTGCTCTGACGGGGTCTGGGAGGGAAAGGTAGACCAAGCACAGCCTCTGCCTCAGAAGCTGCATACACACAGCACTACGGAGTGAAGGCCAAGCGAGCATGGGGAGCATGAGCAGGACTCCCCACCCGCTCCCAAAAAGGATGTGCCTGAGCTGGGTCTTGGAGGACAAAGAGATCACTAATGGATTTGGCACGTGTGGAGATGCTGAGGCGAAAGAAGAGGGACGTACCTGGAACCCCTGTGAGAAAGTCTGTTAGAGGCAGAGACCCCTGGGGCCCTGTAAATATCGCTGGCTGAGTGCCAGGGAGGGCAGCAGGGACATTTACTCACCTGTGTATTCTGGAAAGTAGCTAATTAGATGAGAGTACATGATTTTCTCCTCCAAAAGATCCTTCTTATTTAAGAACAAAATCACAGATGAGTTCAGAAACCAGGGGTAGGTAATAATGGTTTTAAATAAGGCTTTGCTTTCTTCCATGCGGTTCTAAGTAAGAAACAAGGAACTTAGGGTTAATAAAGAAAAAACAAACTTTGGAAGCAACAGGCCAAAGGGCTGGTTCCACCATGTGTCCCCTCCCCTAGCTGCCAGTTCCACACCACTGTCTGCTGGAGCAGGTGAGCACAAAGCCCCCCCCCCTGCCCCAGGACACCAGGTGCTTCTATTATATAGCCTATTTCTATTCCCCCTGACTCCCCACTTGGCTCTTATCACCCCTTCTGGATCTGTTCTGCAGCAGCACCCCCAAATAAACACATAAAATGGAAAAAGGTTCATACCCATATTTGACAAAAGTTCTCTATTTAATTATGGGGGTTACTAAGTGGGGGAAGTGCATAACTTAGACCAGAGACACCGCTTTAACTGGGGATGGGCTTCCAGACCACGAGAGGAAGGCTTCTCCAGCACAGCCACTGTCCACAGGAGTTGGTCACGCAGAGCAAGGCACTAACACTATTGGGTGCCTTCTCCAGCCACGTGTCACAGGTGGGTAATACAGGCGAGGTCTACTAGGGGAGCAGGGTCCCCACTTTATGGATGAGCATACTATTGTTCACAAATTTAAATCATGTCCCAAGCCTATGTAATAGTACGACCTGGTCAAAATTATGTAGAAAAACTAAAAATTTCTTAACAGTAGACATTGGCAAGAATATATCAAAGGTTCTTAATTTAGGGAGGTTGGACAGGGCACATACAAATCTCTGGTTGACAATAATTGTTCTAGATTGCACTCTGCTCTGAAGTATTTTTTTAATAAATATTTTATAAGTAAGCTCTAGCCCCAACGTGGGGCTTTAACTCATGACCCTGAGATCAAGAGTCATATGCCCCACCTGAGCATATGATTGAGCCAGCCAGGCACACCTGAGTAAAGAAACAAGAGTAAAGAAACAACTTTATAGAGGGAAGAGATCAGGCAAAAACATGAAAGCCTTGCACACCCACTCCAGAGGGACTTGCGATAAATCTGTTTCCCTGCAACTTCTGCATACTGAGGCTCATTCTCCTATTTAGTACATTTTTGTCAATTAAGATGGAATTTATTACCAGAGAGGTAACCCTTCAGTTGTTTTTTACAGCTTTTTAAAAAACTTATGATCAGTAATGATCTCCAAGGAACTACAGCACAGTTGACCCTTGAACAATGCAGGAGTTGGGGGTTGCTGACTAGCTGAAAATGTGCATATAACTTTTGACTCCCCCAAAAGCTTAACTACTAATAGCCTACCACTGACCAGAAGTCTCACCAATAACAACTGGTTCCCACATATTTTATACAGTACAGATATTACATCCCATGTTCTTACACTAAAGTAAGCTGGAGATAAATATATATATATATATATATATATATATATATATATATATATATACACATACAAATATATATGAAGAAAATCATAAGGAAAATACGTGTACTGTACCATATTTAGGGGGAAAAAAAAGCCCATGTGTAAGTTCAAACCTGTGTTGTCTAATGGTCAACTGTAAATGAAGAAACCATTCCTGGACAGCCCCATGAGTGGACACCATGTATCTACACCCAGGAGGGCAAGTCTGAAGAAGAATTTTTCTCCAAATTTTTAAGAGAAGAGAAAATGTCTAATTTCTAAGCATACTGGGCTGAGGCACTAGTCCCTTGCCCACCTGAATAATCCTCTGTGTTTCCCGAGAAACATCATTAATCCTGAGACGAATTTGGAGCTCATTTTCATATTGATAACTTGATGCCTTTGCTTTTTTTTTTTTTTTTTAAGTGTCTCCCCTGGAAGAGCTGGGTGGCAGCCAAGATTGCTATAGACACCAGTAAATGGGTTAATCCTCCACTAATTAGCTAATGTAACTCTGCTCCTCAGAGAAAAGCCTGCTCTCAAGAAATACAAGATATAATTTGGTCATGGTGACTGCCTAATCCTGGGCAGCGTTCTTTACTGGTTTACTACCACCACCTAGAAGCAAGAGAGACATCTTTCTATGAGGTCAGGATATCTCGTGAAGGGTAAGGAAAAGACCAGGGGAGGCCGATGGTATCCCACAGAATGCAGGCCCACCGGCTCTTTTCACTTTCTGGGCAGATAGGGTTAATGCCATTCCATGCAGCTAGCACTACGGCAACTCTGCAGAGGACACAGAATGCCTGACCAGGGGGGTCAGGCCAGATCTAAGCACCTGGCTCCACTCCCCACCCAACTCAGTTAGGGACCTAACTTGGGAGCACCATGGACTGGGAAGCCTGTTCTCAGTACTTCTTAGAAATAGCACTGCTCAACTTTGGCTGTCCATTAGCACCCCCAAGGGGCTTAGAGAAGACACCCCAGATTCAAACCTAGGAAACACAAGTCCCTACTGTGAGGTCCAAAAGATAGTCTGTTTTTAAAATTCCCCAGGGGATTCCAATATGTAGCCAAGGCTGAGAACCAATGCTTCTGAGTGGTTCCACCCTTGGCAATACATGAGATTAGATCCCAGGCTCAGCCCACACCCACCCCAACTATATCAGGATCCACATGCCAGGTTCCTCTTAAAGATCCCCCAGGAGGGAACCTGAGTGGCTCAGCAGTTGAGCGTCTGCCTTTGGCTCAGGGTGTGATCCTGGGGTCCTGGGATCAAGTCCCACATCGGGCTCCCTGCAGGGAATCTGCTTCTCCCTCTGTTTCTGCCTCTCTCTGTGTATCTCTCATGAATAAATAGATAAAAAAATTAAAAAAAAAATCCCCTGGGAATTCTAGTGTGCATCTAACTTTCAGAACCAGGTTTCCAGGCCAGCAATTCTCAAACTTCCATGTGTATTTGAATCACCTGGAATCTTGTTAAAATACAAGTTCTGAATTATTCAGTGTGGGTCGATTGACTAGGCACGCATTTCTAACAAGCACCCAAATGATGCTGGTGCTACTAATCCATAGACTACACTTCAAATAGTAAGACAGTTTAACCTATACAAGAGTCTAATGCCAGAGTGGCTGGCTTTTTGCAAACTGCAGAAACAGGTCTTTGTTTTCCATAGCTACAAGCATACCTCATTGTCACACTCAGCCAGGACCTGGTCATATTCACTCAGAGCAACCAAAAAAATTATGGAGGTGACACTCTCAAAGCAATGAATCCACTTCCGTCTTTCAGATCGCTGGCCACCAACATCTACCATCCTGTTGGATAAAAACAGCATTTCAAAGGTCGGCATACATGGCTCTTTGGAGAAAAAGGACAGGAATCATTATATTGTAGAAATCAACACTCGTTAGGGTCCTCAATAATTTTTTGAGTGAAAGGGGGTCTTAAGATGCAAGTGTGTGAGCACCACTCCCTTTGGCAGAGAGGAACCCTAAGTGTTTCCTAGCAAAGGAAGCACAGAATGTAAGTGAAGTTACTGAAGAGAGCAGTAGAGGTCACTCGCGGGGAGCCTGCTCAGGGACACTGGTTTGGAAGCTGCTGCATTGGTCCAGACAGAAAGCAAAGCATCCACCTAAGTGTCGCTCCAACCACTGTAGAGTGCCAGGACACTAGACATGCGAGGGACAGAGAGGCAATCCTCCAGGTCCACCGGCTGCCTCCAGGCCCTCACCCTGCCCATTTTTCACCACTCCTCAGATTTACCCATGAATCCTTTCTGCATTACATGGATGCTACCCCTTCTGGCCTACAACGAGCTGCAAGTTTCCTCTGTCCTGTAAGGCAATCCAAAGGCTTTAGCCGGGGCTTTGGGAAAGACTAGAGAGAATCACAGCCCAAAGATGGCTCGTAAGCTCCAATGCTCCAGGAGGCAGGCAGTTCATGGAAATGATCAAGTAGGCACCTTCGAGAATGCTAGGGACCCCCTCTGGAGGGCTGACTGCTATGGAGTTGCAGTCAACTGCTGCTGAACAGAAGTGCAGGCACACCGTGACCAGACCCTCAGCCTTTCAAGAGGAGCTAGATATCAAATGTTGTAAGCACAATGGACCAGTTCTAAGACTGGCTCAAAAGCTGCTTAGAGAACAGCAAGGGGGCCAAAGAGAATAATACATCTGTGGACCAGAACCAGGTTTTGTTTTGTTTAAAGATTTTATTTATTCATGAGAGAGAGAGAGAGAGAGAGAGGCAGAGGCACAAGCAGAGGGAGAAGCAGGCTGCATGCAGGGAGCCCGATGTGGGACTCGATCCCAGGTCTCCAGGATCCTGCTCTGGGCTGAAGGCGGTGCTAAACCACTGCCACCAAGGCTGTCCAGAAGAACCAGGTTTTGGAAGCAGCAAGCCTCACTGATTCTGAAAAAGGTCAATGTCATAAATTCATGGGCACCCACATGTGGACTTCCAAGTGGCTCAACCAGAGGGCTCCCCAATGCCACAGTGCTCTGGAAGCGCCCTGAGATGGAACGGGGTTTACAGACAGAATCCGGCGTGGCAGGATCGGACCTGCATCATCTCGACTAGAAAAGCATAACGTAATAACTGATGAGCAGGGGAACGAAATATAAAAATGCTTTGAAACATGCAGTGCTGTGCCTCTGTACCATGTCCTTCACTCTATGCCATAATTAAATGCAGTGAAGATCTACTAAAGTCATCCTAAAAGTACTTCTTATATTTGTATGTGGAAATTCATACACTTTTGGCAGTAGTGTACATATATGTGTAGTATATATACACACACACATATAATGTAATTTTTAATACACTTTTTGTACCGATTCTTTGTTTTTTTTTAACAGATAAATGTTAGAGAAGGGACTCTAAGGGAAGAGAAATATTCAAGTTTAGGGAAAAGACATCAGTATTTCAACTCATAGTTACGGAAGTGTGTGTGTCTTACACATAAGGGTCATTCCAGACTTCAGTAAGGAGACTTCTGTTCTAAGAGGATAGGAAGGTGAGTTCCTCTCCATTCTAGGACTTGAGACCTCTCGTAGTTCTAAACATTGCATGATGGAGAGCGCCCTATGGCTCTATGAGACAGACCACTTTAGGAATAACGCACTTAAGAATCCATTTGGTGAGGGACGTTGGGGTGGCTCAGCAGTTTAGCACCTGTCTTCAGCTCAGGGTCTGATCCTGGAGTCCTGGGATCAAGTCCCACATCGGGCTCCCTGCATGGAGCCAACTTCTCCCTCTGCCTCTCTCTGTGTGTCTCTCATGAATAAATAAATAAAATCTTAAGAAAAAAGAATCCATTTGGGGGCTACCAAGGCCACACACATTCCAATGGACCATGTCTTACCGAAAGATGATGTTTTCCAAGTCAAACGGATACTCGATGATGCCAGTTGTGGGCACTCGGACACGAAGCACGTCTTGCTGTGTTGGCACGAATGATGGCATGGCGATCCGGTCAATGTCCGTCAGGTAACTGTGATATCAGACAGCCAAGCCCAAGACTCATTTTAGAAATGGGAGAAATGTCCATCCCACTCCAGGGGAGACACCCCAACTCACAGTGCCCCCACTCGGCTTCGTGGATTCCATCAGTGCCTTTCTGGAAAGGTGGCTCTGGACCGGGTCTGTCCACCCCAGCTATGGGTGTTGGGGAGAGGATATGGATCAGGAGCTTCTATGAGCCCTCCAGGAAATCTGTGAATAAGGCCATCTCTTCCACGCAGCTCTAAGCTTTCTCTCTCCCCGGCCAGTGAGGGACCCAGCAGGTCAGAAGGAAAGGATGTTGGGGTGGGGTCTCTCACCTCTCAGCTGCCTGCCCCCTCCCAACACTCACCCCCATCCCCCAACATTATAGAAAGTAGATGCTGTTCCTGAAGGCTTTGCTCAACGAATTTTAGTTTCTATGAGAATATAAGGGTATAAAACAGGCCAATTCAAAGTCCCTTCAAAACAACAAGAAAAAGTTGACGGCTTGTTGGGAAATTACACATCTAAAATAAGCCAAAACTTGTCTCGGATTATTTTTGGCTGCCTATTAAACTCCTAAGCTGAAAACAAATCACTTTTTCTGCAGTAAAAGGAGAATACACGTTATCTCTTAACTGTAAGGCCTTTATAAAAGCCATTTCTGAGTAGAAGGACTGTAGCCTCGGCCCTGGCCAGTGACGGGGGCGGTGACCCAGGGCGTCCCGCACAGAAGGCTTGGCCTCGCCTCCTCCCAGGGCTGCGGGGCCGCAGGTGGCATGTCGGGAGCCCGGGGGTGCAGGCAGGCCCATCCATCCCGCAGCCCTCGGTCGGGGAAGCGAACCGCACTCCAGCCGACGGGATGCGGCTTGAGGACAGAGAGCACGGCTGTCCCCAGCGCCCGACTCTGCGAAGTGAATGCCCGTCCAGGCCCGCAGGCCCGCAGGCAGGCAGGCAGGCAGGCCCGCAGGCAGGCGCAGCAGGTGCCCGCTGGGGAGGCCGCCGTGGACTCGCAGCCTCTCGCTCGGGCAAGCTGCGTTTCCGAGAGCCACTGGCTCTGCCGCAGCTCGGCCCCCCAGCCATTGCCCACGTTCCCCTCAGTGCACTAGCCCCGGATTTCTGGGCTCCCCCGAATCTCCAGCGGGTCCAGCGGGCTCTTCCAAACGGATCTCCAGCGGGAGCCCCGGCCCGTCCCCACGTCCCCAGGACCTGCCCGGCACCCTCGCCCACCTGGAGCTGCCTCTCGCTCCGCAGCTGCCAGGGGCGCTCGGGCCCCCGCCCAGGGACACTGCCTTCCTTCCTCTGCTCTCTCCGGAGCTGACCCAGCACTTCCCCGGCTTGCTACTTCCTTTTGCCACTTGGCTGCTCTGCAGCACCGACAGGTTCCCGCACTCAGACCTGTCGTGCCAACCCCGGGTCAATGGCATTAAACACACAGCCTGGGGGCCGCCCGCGGGGCTCAGCGGTTTAGCGCCGCCCTCAGCCCAAGGCCTGATCCTGGAGACCCTGGATCGAGTCCCACGTCAGGCTCCCTGCATGGGGCCTGCTTCTCCCTCTGCCTGTGTCTCTGCCTCTCTCTGTGTGTGTCTCTCATGAATAAATAAATAAAATCTTTGAACAAAAAAACCCACCCAGCCTGGCACTAGCAGCAAAGGGAGGCCATTGAAACTGTAGGTGACATTTGCTTCAACGTGGATGGAACTGGAGGGTATTATGCTGAGTGAAATGAGTCAATCGGAGAAGGACAAACATTATATGGTCTCATTCATTTGGGGAATATAAATAATAGTGAAAGGGAATAGAAGGGAAGGGAGAAGAAATGAGTGGGAAATATCAGAAAGGGAGACAGAACATGAGAGACTCCTAACTCTGGGAAACGAACTAGGGGTGGTGGAAGGGGAGGAGGGCGGGGGGTGGGGGTGAGTGGGTGACGGTCACTGAGGGGGGCACTTGACGGGATGAGCACTGGGTGTTATTCTGTATGTTGGTAAATTGAACACCAATAAAAAATTAATTTATTAAAAAAAAGAAAAGAAAAAAAGAGAAACTGTAGGTGAGAGCGCAGGTTTCCCTCCTGCCCACTGCCGTGTTCGGACAATTGGGGTGACCCACGTACCCACACCAGCCCCGAGGGCAACCCCCAAAGGGAAGGGGGTGGGATTCTGGGGCCCACAGAGGATGCGAGAGGACGCGGGGCAAAGGGGGAAGAGCCGAGCTGCAGAAGCAGGGAGAATCGCCTCTTCAAGAAGGGGCACGACCCATCCGTTTGTCCAGTGACCTAGGGGACGGACGCACTGCCTCCAGAAATTCCTAAAGCAACGAAATTCTGTGACCTCCTTGTGCACGCAGGCCCATCTATTTCATTTTACCTTAGGGAGCAATGATTTGAGGCTAGAGCTTTATGAATCAAAAAGACAGGGTGTACCAAAAGCATAAGATACCTAGGAATAAACCTAACCAAAGAGGTAAAGGATCTATACCCTCAAAACTATAGAACACTTCTGAAAGAAATTGAGGAAGACACAAAGAGATGGAAAAATATTCCATGCTCATGGATTGGCAGAATTAATATTGTGAAAATGTCAATGTTACCCAGGGCAATTTACACGTTTAATGCAATCCCTATCAAATTACCATGGACTTTCTTCAGAGACTTAGAACAAATTATTTTAAGATTTGTGTGGAACCAGAAAAGACCCCGAATAGCCAGGGGAATTTTAAAAAAGAAAACCATATCTGGGGGCATCACAATGCCAGATTTCAGGTTGCACTACAAAGCTGTGGTCATCAAGACAGTGTGGTACTGGCACAAAAACAGACACATAGATCAATGGAACAGAATAGAGAACCCAGAAGTGGACCCTGAACTTTATGGTCAACTAATATTCGATAAAGGAGGAAAGACGATCCACTGGAAGAAAGACAGTCTCTTCAATAAATGGTGCTGGGAAAATTGGTCATCCACATGCAGAAGAATGAAACTAGACCACTCTCTTGCACCATACACAAAGATAAACTCAAAATGGATGAAAGATCTAAATGTGAGACAAGATTCCATCAAAATCCTAGAGGACAACACAGGCAACACCCTTTTTGAACTCGGTCACAGTAACTTCTTGCAAGATACATCCACGAAAGCAAAAGAAACAAAAGCAAAAAATGAACTATTGGGACTTCATCAAGATAAGAAGCTTTTGCACAGCAAAGGATACAGTCAACAAAACTAAAAGACAACCTACAGAATGGAAGAAGATATTTGCAAATAACATATCAGATAAAGGGCTAGTTTCCAAAATCTATAAAGAACTGATTAAACTCAACAGCAAAGAAACAAACAATCCAATCATGAAATGGGCAAAAGACATGAAGAGAAATCTCACAGAGGAAGACATAGACATGGCCAACATGCACATGAGAAAATGCTCTGCATCACTTGCCATCAGGGAAATACAAATCAAAACCACAATGAAATACCACCTCACACCAGTGAGAATGGGGAAAATTAACAAGGCAGGAAACCACAAATGTTGGAGAGGATGTGGAGAAAAGGGAACCCTCTTACACTGTTGGTGGGAATGTGAACTGGTGCAGCCACTCTGGAAAACTGTGTGGAGGTTCCTCAAAGAATTAAAAATAGATCTGCCCTACGACCCAGCAATTGCACTGTTAGGGATTTACCCCAAAGATTCAGATGCAATGAAACACCGGGACACCTGCACCCCGATGTTTCTAGCAGCCATGTCCACAATAGCCAAACTGTGGAAGGAGCCTCATGTCCATCGAAAGATGAATGGATAAAGAAGATGTGGTCTATGTATACAATGGAATATTCCTCAGCCATTAGAAACGACAAATACCCACCATTTGCTTCAACGTGGATGGAACTGGAGGGTATTATGCTGAGTGAAATAAGTCAATCGGAGAAGGACAAACATTATATGTTCTCATTCATTTGGGGAATATGAATAATAGTGAAAGGGAATATAAGGGAAGGGAGAAGAAATGTGTGGGAAATATCAGAAAGGGAGACAGAACATGAAGACTCCTAACTCTGGGAAACGAACTAGGGGTGGTGGAGGGGGAGGAGGGCGGGGGGTGGGGGTGAATGGGTGACGGGCACTGAGGGGGACACTTGACGGGATGAGCACTGGGTGTTATTCTGTATGTTGGTAAACTGAACACCAATAAAAATTAATTCATTTAAAAAAAAAAAAAAAAAAGACAGGGTGTAGGCCTTCCGGGGCGTCGACAAGCAAAGGAAGGGCTCGCGGCCTGGGCGGCCTCCCCGCGCCGCGCCTGCAGAACCCAAGTTGCCCACGAGAGGGCAGCACCGGATCGGCCACCGCCGCGGCCTCCGGCACGGCGGGTCTGGAGTCTGAGGTCAGGTGGGAGCGCAGGTGAGCCCGCGGGCGGCGAGCGGAAACCGAAGACAGAGGGGAGAGGAGGAGGAGGAAGGCCGGAGCCAGGGAGCCAGGGACAGCAGTAGTCCGATTTTAAGTCAGAAGATTTCAGCGCCCTAAATGAGATGAGGCCCCTTAAAGGAACCCCACATTTGATGGAGCTTCTCATTGAAAAAGACAGAGGCGCGGAGAAGGGCGGAGGACAGAGATGTGGGGCGGGCCTGGTGCCCAGGACGCGGCGAGGCACCCAGGAGCCCGAGGGCGCCGCCGCCCAGCGCCCAGCCGCCCAGCGCCCAGCTCTAGAGGCAGCCGGTTGTCCCCAGCGAGGAGCATCTTGCGGGGCCAGGCTCCCCGGGGGCGGGCTGCGTACTCACTACTTGGCGGAGTCCGACAGCTGGTACTCCCTCCTCCTGTCGTAGCACTCCTGGATCCCCGGGTCCCGCCACAGCTGCTTGATGGCCGCCACCTGCTCCCCGGAGAGGGCCACGACCTTGTCCACCTCCACCTCTCTGATGAGCTGCGCGTTTTCCTACGCGAAGGAGAGAGAACCCTTCATTGGGCGAAGGAGAGGGAGCGCCCCGTGGGTGGCCCGGGGACAAGGCCCCCGCCTGTGGACCAGGGAAGATTGCAGGTGACACGCGGCTTCACCCAGACCTGCCCCATCCGCACCCAGGGCCCGTCCCACCAGCACCCAACACCCAAATGTGAACAGAGAAACCCAAGAGCCATGGAGCACCAGTGTCATTTGAAGGTCAGCATAGCGGCAGAGCAACGTGGAAATAACCATTCCCCTTGTGCTGGCGCGTGCGCCCACCCACCAGGGCGGGGGCGGGGTCCACCTCGGCGCAGGGCGAAGTGCGAGCCTTGTCCCCCGGGAACAGACCGACACTAGCATCGCCAACCAGGTGTGTCGGTCGGCTTGCTTTCTCCTCTCTTCTTTTTTTAGGAATAACTTAGCAGAGTTTATTCCTTATTACATCAGTTTTAGTTCACAGCTAAACTAAGACAGCACAGAGAGTTCCCATTCAGTCTGCTAATTTATCGTCATACATCACTGATAAAACTCCTTTGCAGGGCACCCGGGTGAGCATCTCAGTCAGTAGCTGAGCATCTGCCTTCGGCTCGGGTCAGGATCCCGGGGTCCTGAAATCAAGTCCTGCGTGGGGCTCCCAGCTCAGCAGGGAGTCGGCTTTTCCCTCTCCTGCTCCCCTGCTTGTGCTCATTCTCTCTCTCTCTCTCTCTCAAATAAATAAATAAAATCTTTTTAAAAAAGATTTTATTTACTTATTCATGAGACACATAGAGAACCAGAGACACAGTCCGAGGGAGAAGCAGGCTCCCTGTGGGGAGCCTGATATGGGACTTGATCCTGGGACTCCAGGATCACCCACGCATCCCTCAAATTAATAAAATCTTAAAAAAAAAAAAAAAAGATGTGGAAAGCCACTCCCATTTCAACCCCCAATGCCAGATTGTCATAATATTATATTTATTATTACTCCCATTAAATAACTATTGCTCTAATACTACCGCTCCATTATTACAGCACTTAAGATTATTGCTGTAATTATTACTATTATATCAGTTATCATTTATTGCCCACTTCCTGTGTGCCAAGAGGTGTATACACATTATCTCATTTAATCGATGTCAGGTTAGCATGGGGCCAGAAATCTTGCAAAACCCAAGGTAATGAAAATAGTATGATTGCCTTACATCCTCAGCATGTCTGTGTGTTGGCCACAGAGATCCCACATCCCATCCCTTGGCTGCAAGTTGCACAGACAAGAGAATCCTGCTGAGACAGAGACAGGAATTCGGCCCTCCTCTGCTCCCCCACCTTGCCACATCTCAGGGCAATGACATCACACAGAGCTGGCTATTTGCTAGCAGCTGTGAGTCGGCAAAGCATCTGTTTGGAAGCTGTGATCTGCACATGTGTATATGGTACTCCCTGAAAAGTTGCTCATATCTTGCATTATTCATCCTCATTAACAATTCAACAGGAAGCTGGAGAAAAGGGAGATCGTAGAGATTTAGTCCACTCTGGGGCTAAAAAGGAGGGTTGTGATGAAGTCCACATGGCTTTGCACCACTACCCATCAAGAGTGGATATAAACTCTTCCCCTGGACTGTGGGATCATTGGCAGGGAGAGGATCCCAGTTGTAGAATCTCCAACAGCTCTTGGCATAATGGGTTAGTGGGAAGTACCCTGGATGGGGAATAAGGACCCTGAGTTCTCCTAGTGCCTTTGGGATGTCTAAGGACCCCAAAGGGTATGGAGGGACTCTGACTTGCAGTAGACCTCAGTCTCCTTAGAAACCCAACAATTAGGATCTGAGTTTGGAACCAACTGAATTCAAGGAGCCTAGACGTATTCCATGTTTAGAGTTCTCCCAGCTAGGTCTCACCTACCTGTCAAGATGGTTCTTTTTATTTTGAAATAATTTAAGACTCACAAAAATGTGGGGGAAATGGTACAAGAGTTCCTCTGTGCCTTTCAGGATGGCCCAAATGTTGACAGTTTATGACCATGCCTTATCATCCATCCCATCCCGCTAAATGTGTGCCAGGCACACATGTACACAAAGACCTTCTGCCTGAAGTATTTGAGAGGAAGTTGCAGACACAATGCCTCTTTACCACTCAAGACTTTGGTGTGATTTCCTAAAAATGGGACAGTGGACCATAACATCATAGGATAATGACCAAAATCCAGAAACTAACATAGACACAATAATGTAATCGCTTCTTGAAACCTTACCCCAAGTGTGTCCATTGTCCCCTTAATGTCTCTCCTCTGCCCCATCTAGGGTCACATAATGCATTGACTTGCCTCTCTGTGATCTCTCTCTGGAAACATTCTGTGGTCAGGAGTCATTTTGTCACCCAAATCCAGAACGGCCTGACAAAAATATGCAGAGGGCTGGTAGGGCAAGTGGCACAGCCGAGGCCCCAAAGATCATTCCAGGAAAAAATATTATGATGGGCAGGGAGGTGTGAGGAAGAGAGTGACCTGTCTTTAAATAAATGTAACTGGTATACGGAATGACTTCTGTACACTGTGAATGACGTCTGTGTGTTACAGAAAGTGGGGTCTTGTGCCTATTTCCCTGTGACTTGGCTAAATACTTTCATGCACAGCAGGACCATGGGCCGTTGGACGAGCATGTTCAAAGCTCCTGGAGAGCGCACAGCGTCAGAACAGAGGCTCCTTCTGGATGTGGGAACAAGTGTCGTGTTGTGTGAGATTGGCTCCTTGAGCTGACAGTCTAAAATGGCGATGGCAGGAGGACCCCAAATTCAAGTCCTGCGGGCCACTCTAAACCTACACCTATTTATAGAGCAACTACTACTGATGAAAAACCAAGGGCTGGGGCACCTGGGTGACTTAGTCAATGAAGCATCCAACTATTGATCTCAGCTCAGGTATTGATCTCGGGGTCGTGAGTTCAAGCCCCACGTTGGGCTCCACACTGGGCTCCATGCTGGGTGTCGAACCTACTTAGAACAAAACAAAATAAAGAAACAAAAAATTGACAGCTGACTGGACGGCTTCTGCACAACAAAGGCTAGCGAGGCCATGTAGAGAACAGCAAGAGAGACAGAGACACATTACTGAGGGGAAGCCCACCCCGACGCTGCCAACTGCAGTGGGGAGAGGTAGTACTGGGGGACCAGGAGCAATGATCTGCCCTGGAGCACAGAAAAAAACTGTAGTTTGAAAGAACAACTAGTTATAAAAGATCCAGCCTCCACAAAACAGCAGGAGAACTGTTGAAACTCTCTCTAGGTGGGAGGGGTGGTGACCACAGGTGATATTTGCCCTCCACTTTCATATCCAGACAGGAGCATAGTCCAGATGGCATGGCCACCCTGCTACTCAGGGAGTCCCAGGCCACTCGCCCACCCCAGCCCTAGCTGCTCCCACCAAGGCAGCTCCAGCATGGTGCCCACCAGGGCACCTTGGGTCAGCACCCCCCACAGCTCCGGCCATCGCATCAAGGTGACCCAGGCATGAAGCACACTAGAACACACCCGACCTGCTCCACCTTGGCCCCAGGTGGCTTGCTAGGCCACCCCCGTCCCAGAGCACTCTTGGACCTCCTGGCTCATGTCTGCTTTGTCTCCAATTCCCCCACCAATGCAGCCCCTGTGCTAAGCACCCTGAGACACTCTGTCCCCCATGCCTGCCTCCATTCCAGCTGCCCCACCAGGGCACCCTGTGACTGGAGCAGCCTGAGACTCCTGGCCCCCATCCTGCCTTTGTTTCAGCCACCCTTCAGGGTGCTGTGTACACAAAGAGCCCCAGAACACCCCAGCAAGTTGCCATCCTCAGCCCAGTTATCCCACCAGGGTGCCCGCTCCTCTGAGCAATCCAGGCCAGCCTGGCTTCCACCCGTTTCAGCTACTGCTGTCCTGCCTAGGTGCCCTTTGTGTGGACAGCCCTGGGATAGCTCTGGCCATCTTACCATGGCACTCCAGTAAGGAGGGACCCAGGACCCCAAGCACACACCAGACACAGCTCCCACGAGCCAGCCCAAGTCCCAAGGCACACACAGTCTACATAAGGCATGACCATACACAAGGCCATTCCTGCAAGTTCAGAAGTAGCTGTTCTGCCTAATTCAGGGAAACAAACACAGAAAATCAACCAACACAGGGAAGCAGAGGAATATGTGCCAGATGAAAGAACAAGACAAAAGCACAGGAAAAGAACTAAATAAAACCGAAATAAACAAAATGCCTGATGAAGAATTTAAACTAATGATCATAAAGATGCCTGTTGGACTAGAGAGAAGAGTGGAAGATTTCAGTAAGAGCTTCAACAAAGAGAAAATATAAAGAACCAAAGAGAAAATATAAAGAACCAATTGAAGTTGAAGAACACAATAACAAATAAAAAATATACTTGAGGGAATCAACAACAGATTAGCAGATACAGAAGAACGGCTCAGCAATCAGGAAGACAGAGACATGGAAAGCACCTAAACTGAAGAGCACAAAGAAAAAAGAATTTTAAAGAAGATAGTTTAAGGGATCACTTAAAAAACATTGAGTGAAAAACATTTGTATTATACAGGTCTGAGAAGGAGAAAAGAGACAAAAAGGGGGAGAAAACATACTGAAGAAATAATAGATAACTTCCTCAACCTGGGGAAGGAAACAGATACCCGGTTTCAGAAAGCACAGAGTTTTCAATGAAATGAACCCAAGGAGGCCCATAATATATAATTTAAGTGTCAAAAGTTAAAGAAAAAGAATTTTAAAAGCATCAAGAGAAAAGCAAAAAGGGGAAACCCCCTAAAACTATTAGCTGATTTTTTTTTTTTTTAGCAGAAACTTTGCAGGCCAGAAGTGGCATATATATTCAAAGAGTTGAAAGGAAAAAAAAAACCTACAGTCAAGAATACTCTATCCATAAGATTATCATTTAGAATTAAAAGGAGACATAAATAATTTCCCAGACAAAAGTTAAAGGAGTTAATCACCACTAAGCTAGCCTTACAACAAATGTTAAAGGGGCT